CTCTACGGGTCTGCTTGGGTAATAGTACAGATTGTGAAGCGCATAGAGCTTGCTGTTGAGCTGGGGATTTGCTCTATACAAATGCTATCAATTATTATTACAGTCGCTCTTGTTACCTGCTATACAAATGCTATCAATTATAATTATTGCAGTCGCTCTTGTTACCTGCTATACAAATGCTATCAATTATTATTATAGTTGCTCTAGTTACCTGCTATACAAATGCTACCTATTATTATTCAGGGTTCCTGCCATGAACTCCCCCCAAATTCAAGGAGAATTCAAGGAGAAATTCTTTAAAATTCAAGGAGATTTGGTCAAGAAATTCATGCCGTTTTCGACGGTGCACTTGCCCCCCGAAAGCCTATTCCCGATAAGCCTACTCTTGTCCGAAAGAAATCATAGTTTCGATTGTCCACGAAAACTTTTATTCATGTCCGATCTGGCGAAATTCAAGGACTTTTCAAGGAGGTTCCTCAAATTCAAGGAGTTTTCAAGGACTCCTTGAATTCAAGGAGGCCACAGGAACCCTGATTATTATAGCTGCTCTAGTTACCTGCACGAGGCCGGTGCTGACCCCCACCGCCAGCACGGCCCCGTCCTGCACCCAGGCCAGGGAGGAGAAGTAGTCGTCCTGTGTGGCCAGCTCCATTAGCTCCGTGATCGTCCCGTTGTCCGGGTTCCACAGGAACACCGTGCCGCCCAGGGCAACCGCAAACATGTTGGACTTTGACCAGTCCAGCAGGTTCAGATCTGGGACCAAACAAGAGTAGATGTGTCACGACGCGATGGAATCAGGCGCCCGTCAATTTTTGAGCATGTGAAGTTATTGGTAACATCTTAAAGCTTGTTCGTTTGTCATGCTTTCGATGAACAAAATATATCTGTCTTGGATACAAGTCCAGATATTGGCTACTGAAAGAGGTGGGGTCACCTGGTTTCAGAGGTAAAATTAGTGAGAAAATGGCAGCTAAAGTTTAATTATTTCCTTAGCTTGAGAGTCTGTGGAAACTAAAAATCAACATTTTTTGTGCCTTTAATCAATGATTTTGAATAAAATCTATACAGAAATGTGTTCTTTAATGGACATAGAAGGTAATGAGCCAAAAACAAAAATTCAATAAAAATTCGCAAACCCAAGGGAAAATGCCAGTTTCTTCATTTTCATTATTTTGACGAGTGCCTGATTTCACCACGCTGTCTCACAAATACATAAATAGATAGATAAATAAATAAGAACACCAAAGAGAAATTCAAAATTCAAGCAGCTAATGACAACAGAGCACCAATCCCAATCTGCACCTGCAAGCAGCCCAACACATACTGGTACACAGTGCACATCACTGAGGAATTATGGGAAAAAAACATGGGGG